CGCGAGAAAGAGCACATTCAGAAGTACAAAAAGAACTGACTTCTCACTTTTGCAACATCGAAATAATTGCAAAAGAAAAAGGTTCAAGTGAACAAAAAATAACAGATTTTCTAAGTTTTCATCTTCATTTTGTCTTTCGTATAATCCACGTAATCGTCTTGATTGATATTTACATATAACATGTCTAATATTTTGACTATAATTCCGCCATTTTTTATCCGTTCTGTTCGAGTAACATCTCATTCGAAAGCCTGATAAAAAGTAAACAAAATCACATAGTTTCTAATTTTTCTGAAGTAGAAAGTGACTGTTTAAAACCCACATCAATTGTAGAATTGGGATTTCGAAGGATCAAAATTTTCGAGAAAATACCATCTTCGACCATCCAGACAGAATTTAGCTAAGAATTCGAAGGTCACATGCGATAAAGAATTCAATTTTCCACAAACTGAGCGCAAAAACTTTGTTTTGAAAGTGGTACAAAAGTTCCAAAACTTGAAAACAATATGGCCGACTAACCGCGAGTTTTCAATCTTTTGAGATTTTAGTCAGCGAAACTTTAGTTAACAGCAAAATTAAAGTGATATTTGGTATCAGCGTCAAAAACTGCATCAGATAATGTGCCTTTGAAATCTTTTAGAGAGATGAAAAATTTCGACAATTTTCGCTTTTTTACGTTCGGCTTCCGAGCAAATTTTGCTCGGAAGCAAGGATCGAAGATGGCATTTTCTCGAAAATTTTGTTCCTTCGAAATCCCAATTCTACAGTTGATGTGGCTTTAAACAGTCACTTTCTACTTCAGAAAAATTAGAAACTATGTGATTTTGTTTGCTTTTTATCAGGCTTTCGAATGAGATGTTACTCGAACAGAACGGATAAAAAATGGCGGAATTATAGTCAAAATATCAGAGATGGCTGCTTTTCGCAAATCGACGACGGTGTTCATTTTGTAAATTCTATAACTCAGCCAGAATAAGTCAGAAAGTTTTCTTTTATTTTTCATAACCCTAGTTATGACAGCAGAATCTGAATATGAAATAAAAAGTATATGTCAATTTTTCACTCGTGACTTGATCTCTTAATGGGCTAGTGAATTGCCTCTTAAAGAGTGTCCGATTCTGAAGCGAAGAATAATTTAATTAATTTCTCCTTTTTTCAATGCAAAGTTCTCATAAAGATATCACTAAACAGTTTTACTGCTAATCAGTGCTAACTTCACGATTGTTTCGCCGATGGTAGAAACGTTTTTGCTGTCGACAAATACCGGACTAGACCGGAGGCGTACAAAACATAAATTCTGCTCACATCTTGGCTAAAGGTGTATGTTGACTCTTTCTGTCATATACCAGTTTCAATCAGGACACAGACGGCGTAAACTGCAACCTGACCTTGAAATATTTCTATAATCTAACTAAATTTTGTCCCATATGACAGAACAAGTTTAATCCACATGACTCTAACGTTAAGCTTGCATTAATAACGGTACCTCAAGAAAAAAAAACGTCGCAATTCTTTTTCTTACCAGTTCAAAATATAGATTTCTACAGCAGTCTAGACTAAGCTAATCGAAAAAGCGCAGATGGAAAAAGCTAAGTTACATTGCAACTAACTTTAAAATGATTCTAATCTCATGACTATCAGGTATGAGATAAATCATCGTTGTTTTCCTACTGATATTATATAACTCAATTTTGAATACATTCACCTTTTTTATCTTTTATTAATTGTTTATCTAATAGATAAAAGCCAATTTTAGCTTCCCACGGTGTCTGGTATATTAAGGTGCTGCCAGCATGTCTCTCATTTTCAACTTTTTTCTGTACGTCATCCATAATTCTCATTGACGTTATTGTTTTATCTTCATCTTGATTTGAAATACAAACATTTTTAGCTGATGTCATACTCTTTTTTTGTTTTGTCATTCTAAAACATCGATTATTAATATCGAACCATCCTCGTGGACAAAACGTATTTAACTGACTAATCGAGATGATATACGATGAATTATCATTATCTGAATCGGTTGATGAAAATTTTTCTAGAGGTTTCATAGTGCATATACGATAACCTGATCGAGGATAATAATAACTTAGCGAGTCAGTATCTCTTAGACAATTATTGAGTACAGAGTAACGTTTCTGTTCTGATGATAATCTAAATTGACTCCAAATACTCGAGCCTGATTGTATTATATAAGGACGTCGATAGCTACCATACTCCGTTGTAGTAGTCGAAGTCGTTGTTGGTAATCCACATTGCCATGAAATATTTGGTGTAATATAATCAGCAAATTCAATTAAAACTCGCTCTTCCTGTAGGTCTAATTTCGTGAGCAGTCTCAAATATGTTGACCAATCAATTGAACCGTCGTAAACAAATTCTTTCATGGGTGATGAGCATGTTGTTGAGCTCGAGTAAGCACTTGAATATTGCTTTGATACACATTTTCCTAATTCTGACATGAATATTGTTGTCTCTGGACATGAACCATTTAAAATATACATAGCAAATATTTGCACATCAGTTTTTGAACCACATCTGTATGTTTGTAATTGTGATGAAGCATTACAATATCGATTACAGTCTTGATTTGGTACTGTACTAACATATAATGCACGATTTTGCTGTAATGAGAGTGTTTTTGTTTCCAAGATGCACACACATGTGTCATTACTATTGAATGCTATATATTTTGTTGTAGCATTTTGATCAAGACACAGGGCAGCGCAAAGTTCAATAGTATTTAAAACACTATCAGATGCTTTTTTTAAATCGATAATATTCATTTCATAACCATCAACTGTTCGCCATTTTTCGCATGCAGTGAATTCTAATTGATAATGTAATAAGTTGCCATGTTTTAAATGATATGATTGTTCAATATACAATGAATAGACTTCAGAACCACCACATGTTATATTGTACTTGCCACTACTAATGTCTTTCATACTGTCGTCCCGTAGGTGACCGGGACACGGAGATTGACATAATGCATTACGTTGTCGGCCAATATGCATGATACCTGAAATGAGAATGGTAACAGTTTTAGACAGATATTTAAAGAAATTAGGGTTTTGAAGATCTTTTTTGATTCTTTATTATGAACTTTAAAAAGGTATAGAATTTTTTGTGATCTTCCGCCCGATGTTATTGCTGAGAAAGTCAGGCTGTGCCACAAATGCACTCGTTAGCAAAAATGACGGTACCATGTATCATAACTTGATTTCGTACAAAAAATCGAAGAATTGATAAACAATTAAGTTTACTAGAGTACCAGTGGATGTGAGATATCTTTTCTTCAAGAAATACAAGTTCTTACCAGGAAAGAAGCACGTCAAAGTAACCTCATTTCGGAATTACGCTAAAAACTGAGTTGACGCATGTGTGTTTCGAAACTTTCATGCTAGTCCATATTTTTTCGATTTCTCTCGACTTTTGCAAGAATTGAAAATCCAAGGCTTTCACTCAAAATCCAAAATTGTCTAAACACACATTTTAATTATAATTTAGTTTAATTTTTACTATTGTGTGTGTGACGAATACCGTTGTATGAATTCTGTCGTCAGATTAAATAATGGAGAGCTCAGATTGAATTGTCTTTTAGAATCGTTTACGTTTACCTGAGTCAAAAATATCACCTCTGATTTCAAGAACAGGTACAGAGATGTCAAAAGAACTTTCACATGGTAAAAAGAAGTGTACCTATGGCATACTAAGGTTGCAGCCGCACACCGCTTTGGCTGAATTTGAACACTATCTGACACATTTTTTTGGAATGCACTTTCTCGAATGTCTATAAATCAATCACAGGATGCAGAATTTGCGTTTGCGACAAATTTTTGTGTAAGAGAAATTGCAAAATTTGCTGCAAAATAAAAAATGAGAAATAATAAAACTACAACATCAAGCGGAAACTTAACGCAAAAGCAGGAAAGCTTTTGAAGCTAGACGCTAGGTAGCCACGCCTACTTCTATGGAAGGGGTGAGAGCATTGTGGGTGGTGGGGTGGTGGTAGGTTGAGAGTGAGTAATCAAACAACATTAAGATCAGCCTCGTTAGCCTCTCGTGAGGAGAAGAGGATTTAATACAGTTACCTACTACCCAAGCTAACGTAAGCGTATAGTCTATTTATTACCTGTAACGAGCACGAATTTAACATGAAGTGTTACATATGAATATCCGTTCTCTAAAAAATGTCTAGAGTCGATAAAAGTCAAAATTCTGTGAAAAATGTTTATACTGTCCTACTTTGCTACTTCTCCTGGAAATCCGTCAACATTATAATGTCTTATATCAAAGAATATTATGCTACTGACGCTAAAAATCGCTTTCTATCTCTTAAGCTAGGTTTCATTTCCTGACTTTCTAGTTTCTTTATTGAAGTTTGAACTATGTTTTTGCTTTATCCCATTTTCAGTTTGCGGCAAATAGAAATTCGGCACCACGCCAATCCAATTATAAGTTAAAATACTTTGTTGCACAGCGGCTTTGTTGTTAGCCCGTTAAACTTTTGTTTTGTCCGAAACTATGAAATCCATTGAAAAATTCCAAAAATCTTTCATCAGAATTTGACTACTATTTGCTATCTAAATACTTACGTCATTAAACACTACACTGAAATATATATTCACATTGTGAATACGAATTTATATTAAGTGCTGTTTCCAGCACACATTTTTCCTAACTGGACAACTAAAGGCGACAATTAGGTTCTTGTACTTTCTCGCAGTTTCCTTGTAATAGACTATCGTGATCGTAACATAGAAAATATTTTATCCCAAAAAACGGAACTTCAAAATTTTTTCTGCTGTTGTTTTTTGAAAGCTCTTTCAGATTTGTAAGCTGCCAGAAATTCAAACTTCAAGCACTATTTTATTTTTTTAAAACCTTGAAAGAAACGCTAAATTTTCGGAAAAATTGTTGTTTCAACGATGGTTGTATTTTGAAACTTTGAAACCAATTTCTTCTTATTTAGCATGAAAATCTGAATAGGAATATCTGATTTCGACGTAGTTCGTATATAACATAGTCGAAAAAAATTTCGATACAGATCAGAGGCGAAAATGTGACGAGTCCAGCACGCAAACCTATCGATTTTTTTAGGTTACGAGATATAGCCTTTAGCTATACATTTCAACCGTGAGATTGTAAAGAATAAAGTGACCTATGGGTTTTCCTTATTTTTTTTCTTTGCTGAGAAATTCAATTTTTTCGAAATCAGTGAGAGAACAATGAAGTTGGGCTTGTATGTTGCAGTTTCCTCTATCAAAATTCATTTTTTCGTCAAAAGTAACCTCATTTCGGAATTACGCTAAAAACTGAGTTGACACATGTGTGTTTCGAAACTTTCAGACTAGTCCATATTTTTTCGATTTCTCTCGACTTTTGCAAGAATTGAAAATCCAAGGCTTTCACTCAAAATCCAAAATTGTCTAAACACACATTTTAATTATAATTTAGTTTAATTTTTACTATTGTGTGTGTGACGAATACCGTTGTATGGATTCTGTCGTCAGATTAAATAATGGAGAGCTCAGATTGAAATTGAAGGTAAAACTTGGACAATGACGCGTTAGAGACTGATCGTTGACTTCAGGTTTTGTTTGTTTGAAACTTACGCGTTTGCGAAAAGAATTTTCAAAAGATTTCTAACATTTTGACTTTTAATGCTTTCAAAAACTGCTTCGGACATTAAATGCCGCGTTTCGACCTGTATAGGAGTGACATCTCCCGAATGCTCATACGTGGAGTCCAGAAAAATTTATTGTACAGGTACTTTGGTAAAAGCAACATCTTTTGAAAATTTAACCTAAATCGAACTGATGATTTCTGAGATTAAGGGCCTCCTCCTCAGAAATGGTGATTTTCTGTCAAAAAATCGGTTTTCAGATAAGTATATTGAAAGATAGCCGGAACCCTAGTACTATTCCCGTTCCATTCTTGCTGAGATCTGATCGCGAACCCGATTTTTTCTCCTGTAACGAAAAAATGCTGATCTTGACAAAATAATCATGCCCTTCATGATATGCCTTAGTGAAGAGTAGTAGAGTAAGCTGATAACATCAGCTACTCATTGCCATTCGTTGTCGATATGATAAATGATGTGAAAGTACATGTGAACGCTTGTTGTCCAGCCGGGGTCCATGCGAACCCCAAAGCTGATAAAACAGGATTAAAAATTACTTTTAAGACATGGAGCATTTTCAATAATATATTCGGATTCAGCCTCGAATGATGAATATTTTCAAAAAAAAACTCAAGCATTCAGCATAAAATCTGTTGTTTTTTAATTTAATTTGAAATTTGAAAAATTCAATTCATTTAAATTTTCAATGTAAAACTCGAAAAAAATAAAAATGCTCAGATAGGATAGATATACACATCAATCGACTCAGTTTTTTGATTCTGGTTCCGAATATGATATTTTTATTGTCCAAACGTTGAGTTATGATAGAGAAAATTGAGAATTACGGGCAGAATTCTGAGTTTTTCGCACATGATTTAGGAAAAATCCAGAGAAAGCCAGGTTCACGTGAACGGAAACATCGTCAAACCCTTGCATCTGTTCAATTTTTATTTGTCTATCGAATGACGTTTGTCCGAAGTCTGCAACGCTTACCTGAGTTGAGATATTTTAGTTTTCAAAATAGTTAAATTTTCAAATTTCAAATTAAATTTCAAAATACAAATTTTATGCTGAAGATTTGGTTTTTTTTTGAAAATATTCATCATTCGAGGCTGAATCCGAATATGTTATTAAAAATGTTCCATGTCTTAACCGTGATTTTTAAACCTGTTTTATCAACTTGGGGTCCGGACGGACCCCAGGTGGGCAACAAGTGATAGTCCTATAGGTGGGCGGATGAGGGTTAATGGATATATGCTATACTACAAGGCTCGACGTAATCGATAACCTATGTTCCCAGAGATCATTTCATAGAGTCTTGAAAGGATTTGAAAAGTCTGTTTTGGGAAAAGATTCTCAGACTTACTTTCTATCTTTTCTATTGATTAGCGAGTATTGTAGGTTCATACCCCTTTTCAGTTAAAACTAACTCAGAAATGATAGACTATATTGTACTTTGAAATATGACAGTAGTCCGAAGTGTAGACATATGAGGAAAATTTGTGCATGGCCATTTCTCCCTTTCTTTCTTCGTTAAATCCTCCTCCTCCCTCTTAATAAAATATTATGATTTATTATTGCATCACAGGTTTCATATTGGAAAGAGCGTGTGAGAATTTGAATAAAATAAAACATAGTCTTCTTAATATCTTAAATGTTAACACATAAAATATATTTGTTAATTTACCTGCTCCTCGACATCTACACACTGTATTTTGTAAATAAACAAGTGGTGTATCACATAATTGAAAACATAATTCTGGTGTCATTAATGAACTTTGAAAATAAGTATCCTTTGAGACTTGTGTAAAACAGCCACCATAAATCAACTGATTTCGAGCAAATTTTATCACAAAACAAATAAATAAGATCACACTTACTATAGTCATTTTAAAATAATGTTTGTTACAATGAAAAGAAGAAAGAGTAAATGAAATTTAAGATGATAAGAAGAACAAGAAGATTACATATGCATCATGAATTTATTTAAACGCTATCAAATATGATTTCATTTATTCGAGAAATATACAAAGTTTCAAGTTTCAATTTATTTTAATCATATGGCAAAGAACTTACAAAAAAGTAGTAGAATTTCTAACATATGACATGTTTGAGAAAACAGCAAACAATAACAACAAGAGGATAACGAACAATTTAAAATGATACCACGTTTCACACAAATAGGAATGCACTAATTTCAAGTGAATAAAATTAATATTGTTGAATCGGCCGAAAAGTGTGCTAAAATTAATTAGTATTGATAATAATCTCTATTTTTATGCAAAGTTGACCCATTTCATTGTATTTTTAATTCCATTAACACATAGAGGAACTGAATTAGAGTTTTCTCTCCTACGAAAAACTTGGTCGAAATTGTAACTCTGACAGTGAAGAATAATGATCGCCATTAGCACATCCATTTGGAATAGGTGTATTCCTACACACAAATGCTATGATTCTCCACATGTAGAACATCCCAAAAACGACAGACATTAAAGTTATAATGATACACATACTTTAAGAATCGTTTTCAAAGGTTTCACTGTCAGTGAACACAATACTGTTCTGAGTAACTCATTTCCATTTGCACATCTTCCAGTTAAAAAGACTCAAAAGCGAGCGGGGTAAACCGTTTTTACTTATCTTGATGATGCATTAGTAAACCACTTTAAAGTATATTCTGTCTTTACAGAGTTTCAACAAACAAATGAAAACTTTGAACGAGATCTTTTAAGATTATTCCTGGTAGCAACTTCTTTAATCTGAACAGAGGTGTTATCCAGCTTTCTCCATTGTACACCTTCATTAAATTGTATTCGATTTACAATTGGTCTAAAATCAACGTCAAGGGTCTTTTATCAATTGAATGTAGTTTGCTGAAAATATGTAGCGAAAAGGGCTCAAGTGAGAATCTTCTCTGTATGATACAAACCTTTTCTTGGTAAACCCAGTTTTTCCATAGTAACTTACAATGCTAGTCACGAATCTGATGTTCGTTCTGGCCATTACTGAGTTCCTGAAACGGTCTTGCAAAATCTGATCTTTATAGACCCACCACGAATCTGCGAACGGAAGGACTCTGATCATATCACTTTGCAGAGCTCGTCGAGCTGCATATATAGAAAAATGTTTTTAGCTATTGGACAAGTTTTAACGAAGCTACAAAAATTCTATTATAAAAAAAGCTCAGTAGTTCGAACTTTCCCTTGTACTAGTCAGGAAGATTTTTGCAGCTCCGTTAAAGGTTGTCCAATACCTAGGAACATTTTTCTATATGTGTAACTCGGTGAGCTCTGCAAAGTGACATGGTTGTAGTTTCGTGGTAGGTCTATAAAGACCAAGTTTTGCAAGGCCCATTCAGGAGTTGAGTAATGGCCCGAACAAAGATCAAATTCGTGATCAGCATCGTATTTTTTGAAGATTTTTGAAGGTTCTCCCGGCAGACATGTCTGTTCTTTTGATCAGAACTGTTTTTCTTCTAACTGAGTTGTTCGAAGAAATATTTCGAACGAGTTCGCGAGAATCGTTTTTCAGAGATCCTAATTCAAAACTTTTGGTAGATTTTGCTTTAGGGTCTGGTCACATGAACGGTTTACCTATTTCCGTGCGATACGGTGCCTTATAAATCGAGATTTCGTTCGATTACTGTGAAACGTTTTCTAGTGTGACTTACAATACTACAAGCGATAAAAAGCACCACTTCACTTCCACTTCACTTGAAGTGAACTGGAAGTGATTGTGAAGCGTCCATGACGTGAACTAGTGAAGTAGAAATGAAGAATGTATAGCGTGGAGACCCGTAGAATTTAAGCGCTAGGGATTAAATAAGGCCAGTCCACCTCACATGCATGTAGGAAATAAATAGATTTCTCAGACATAAGAAATCAGAAAAGCCCAATGAAATAACAGTGTCACAAATTAACTTTTCTTTCTTTTTATTTTGGTAACAAACCATGGTACATAAGAAAAAGTACACACATACGAATGACTTATAACAGAAAAATAAACATTAATTCAAAATTTCTGCCTATCATGACCAACAACTGAAAATATCAAATATGGAAAACAGCGAAAGAAACGGTTTTCACATATAAAATTAGAAAATAAAGACGACTGAAGATGAAGATGTTCCTTTAAGACCTATTCTTTTTTATTGTCAATAAAAGGAAGTAGCGATCGATGCAGAATAACATATAGTTACGCATACAAAAACACAAGCCAAAAACTAAATCCTATATACTTAATGTAGGTAAAGTCAACACCAGATTCGAATATTTTCAACCCAGATTTATTAGAAACTCGGTCCAAACTGGAGACAAGTTGGTCCAAATAGATTTCGACAAGCTCTACAAAATGCTGTATTTTGTAGAGTTCTCTGAATAAACAGTGGTTTATGAGAAAAACTTTAAAACTGTTTTTATTAATACGAAATATTAAGGTTTATCAGTAAAAATTTCCCAAATTTCCTAATTCCAAAGCTGAATGAATCTGCGGAACGTTTATTTCTGAATACCACAGAGAAAAAAGATCTTTCGAAAACTTTCTAATGTTTTTGTTGAAATGAGGAGACTGTTGAATGTGCTTCGATGATTTCTATCCAACAACCAAAACAAAATTGAGTAAGCGAGAAAATCTAGTTGCAAAAATAGCTGCAGCGCCCACTTACAGCTAGATTAACTAGATTAAAAGGTACATTTATCTAGCTACATGCTGATTGAAATCGTGTACTAGCTGAAACGGCCGCTGCATTGGCCAATTAATGGCGCAATGAATTGCCCGATTAATCGATAGCAACCAGTTGTACCCAGTTGAAGCTAGATTCAATCTAGCTGAAGCTATATCAAATTTTCATGTATTTCACTGCATCTAGCTGAAGCTAGATAAATGTACCTTTTAATCTAGATGCAGCGCCCGCTTCA